AAGAAAATAGGGTACTGAAACTTTACTAGAGATAGTGCAAGTGCTGGTCCCTACATCTTGATGTTATTTTCATTGTGCTGTCTCCTCTCTACACATTAATGTGAAGCGTATAATACTTAATACATTTCAAAAGCTTTCTACTTACTATTATACGTTCTTATGTAAAAGAAGAAAATAATTTTGGGTTGTTAATTTTTAACATGATGTGAGATAATGCTAAACCATTAGTTCCATTAAAATTCCTTCCTGATTCAAACATGCAGGTTAACATAAAAGACATACACTTGATTTATGTCAAGTAGCAACACAGGTAAGGTTCTGGGTACTCAGCATAAGACTCTTTAATGGAATATTATTGCTCCAAATATACCATACCAGAATTAACTGAAAATAGAAGACTACTAAATCATGGCTGACAGGGAGCTAAATACAGCAAGTTAAAATGCATTCCTAATGGTCTGTCTGGTTCTGGCTGAAACCCTTGGGTCAGTTTGGGTCATGATTAGTTTGGAATAATTCCAAATGACTCCCTAGAGTTCTACTGTTACATTCAGTGGCTTTAGGAAATCCAGAACAGGCCTCATGTCACAAAAATCATTGTATGTCCTATTAGTTTCTAACTTCCAGTTGGAGTGATTTTTTCAAAAAGCAATTCTGATCAAGTCAATCTAATTACTTTGTTACATAAATAATCCTACAGGACTTCCTATTTTCAGGCAGAGAGCTTAACTGGCCTTATCTTTTCACAGGGTCTTGGTTCTAAAACAAGTCATGTTCCTACCTCTACCTATGCCTTAAATACTTTCTCCCCTTTTCTTTGTTCTGTTAATTCCTATTGATCTGTCAGGTAATTGTTTACTTCTTTATGGTCCTCTCTTCCAGGCCTCTCTACCAGCCTTAAAATGGAAGCTTTATGAGAGGCAAGAGGACTTGCTACAACCTCAGTATCAAGAATATTGCCTGGCACATAAGAGGCACTCAATAAATATTTGAATATACCCTCCAGAACGCAGCACAAATATTCCTTCCCTGAAAAAGCCTTCCTTGACCCTCTTATGTCAGTGATACCAATTTTATTTTCTTAAAGCACCCTTTACATTTTTTCTGGGCCCCAGAAAGATCCAGTGCTATCTTCTTCTAAAAGCAGTTTCATAATATAAACACTAGAATCTTTTAGATTTCACAAAATCATTTCTAAATCAAATCCCTCTGCTTCTTTTTCCTTTCCATAGACTGCTATTAAGTAACTCACATTCTTTCACACCTCTTTGCATTGTAGACAGAAATCTAAAAGCCAACTGTAATGTTGGGGTTGGGAGTTGATATTTAGCCTGAATCAAATGTGACTCAGGAACAGAGTAATTCAACCAAATCTACCTTGCTCTCTGTCATTTGTAACTACAAGTAGTAAGACGACAGCCATTTTCTCTTTCATGGCTAGCCTGGTAAAGAACACCTTACAGCAAAGGCATCTACAGGGGAAATAGCAAGGACTAAAAACCCTGATAAGATTATTTTAAGGCATGTTTCCCATATGTTAAATGCTTACACTGATTTTTCTCAGCACACAATCAAATTGCCCATGTACAAAGTATCAAAGGTATTTCAAAGGCACAGGTAACAAGCTTCATTTACAAATACATCTCTTGCTCTTTTTTCCAAGTAATATGATAGCTTCAATGTTCTTGGGGAGTAGTGGTGAAGGCATTTACACTTCTGGCTCTTTTAGGAAAAAAACATAATTTAGCAGTAATGTTAACATTCCATGTATTATCCATTAGTAATGTCATTTAGCTCTGCTTTACCCTTTATAGTTTCGTATATATTTAAATGCCCTAGGTGAAGTTCTGTTTTAAAAGTTAGAGAACAAAATAAAAAATTAAAGAACAATGCATTTTTACTTCCAGAATTATTTCCCCATCAATCTATTTTTCAATGTTTGTGTTGCTATGTAGTGAAATGAGTATTTAATGTTGGTTTAAAAAATCCTTTGTTTTCAACATCAAAAATGGTGACTCTGCCAAATACATGTACATTTTTTTTTATTTTCATAAAAATTAGCCAAAACTTGAAAATAAGCAAAAGAGATTACTAGATAATCAGCAGTGCTGTGCTTAAATCTTTGATTACTGTCTATTCACAGGACTATTTTACAAACCTGTAAGATTAGATTTTTGTCTGGTACAGATACAAATATTTCTAATTAGTAGAAAAGATAATCCAAAACTTACTGTTTATGTTACCTGTAAGATATTAACTAATTGTGCATCTAACTCAACAATTTTATCTTTATATTCCTTTATTAAATTGCCTATAAATACCTACCTCCTCAAATTTTCATATGAAGTGGCTTCAACATCTTATGAGTTCCCTCACTAAGTAATGAGTTGAATCAAAATCACTGACACATGTTCACTTACAGTTTTATAAGTCATGATTTTACCTTTCTGAAAATTATATTTTAAGTTTTGTAAGTTCCACCTAGATGCCCAAGTAAGACCTGACTGAAGCAATTAAACTACATTAATCCTTTCACACACGTTATATAGATATTCCTTACATAATTCTGAGCTCATAATTGCTATCTCATTTATATAAATCAAACCTCAAAGTTTAGAATTTTCAGTCTAAATGGTAAACACCTTTAGAGCAGAGCTTCTGCTTTTATTCATCTTCTTATTCTTAGTATCCAGCATGATGCCAAGTATCTAAAATGTGTTCAATAAATGTTAACTGAAGCTTAGAGCATGATGCCAAGTATCTAAAATGTGTTCAATAAATGTTAACTGAAGCTTAGAGAGTATACCACAGGTTCAGTGGAGGAGAAAATCAATTTAAGGAGAAAAATCCTAGTAGTCTGTCTGCTACAACTAGTGCTACTACTAATCCTAATAGTAGTCTTTGTAATTATCTGGTCAGCTGGAGGAAGGGAGCCAAGTCCTAGAAGCTTTGAATGTGAAAACAGATCCTCCCTAGAAATGGCAGGAATCCTCATTGTACAAACCATGGGTGGCAGGTATATAACAGAATTTGAGAAAGAGTGAACCTTGAGCTCCTTAAGAGCTACAACTCTTGGCAGGCACTACAACCCTGTACATTGCAATACCACAAAGACTCAAATACCATGAAACTGGATATAATTGAAATTACTAACATCAGACATTTTCCAAAAATACAAGAATGTCTTCCATGGACTATACCTCAATTGAATAATAACAATAAATTAATAAATTAAATAGAAATTGCTTTTTTGATTCAGTTCACCTCAGAAGACCAAATTTTCTTAGATGTATTTGTTCTATAAACAGAGAATATATGAAAATTGTGGAATAAGACAACACAAACCTACAAGGCACCTGAGTTCAAGGGGAAAAAAGCACAACAAAATAATAGTCTCAATTCAATGGACTAGGATTGGATGCCAGTCCTGCCTTAATTTCCAGCCTAACCTAAAGAAATAAATATCTGTGCATGAAGGATTATTAGAGTCAAAGCTACCTAAGTAAATTGTGCACATATACTCGATTACTATTTGCTACCAGAAAGTATTAATAGATAGATACTTGCATCACAATGCCAACAATACAAGCCCACCTTAAAACTGCACTGAGATTCTGTCAGTGCAATTACTCACAAAAGGGTCAATTGTATCTAAGCATTTCCTCTTTTGCTTTCAACTCAGGCCAGTGTTCATTAACACCTATCAGCATACACGGCATTTCTCTCCCTCACCTTGTAGAATGCGCTGCCCATGGAAGTCAAGTCAATTTAATACTTTAACACCTAGTATGCCAGTGAAATAACTAACTAGCTGCCCTTAGTCACCTCCACTAAGTTCTTTACAAAGACATGGCATGGTGTTTGGCCCAAGGGAGGCAGTATCTCCTTGTATGAATTATGAAAATGGAAAATTTGAAACTGAATGAAAAGGAAAATGTTTTGACCTGTAAAACACACTTCTTCCTTTCATTTATAGAAATTTATTGAGGATTTATTTTCCAAGTGCAGTCTTTTAAGTTAATGTTTTTTCTTTATTATTTAAAAATGTATTCTTCGTTATTCGTCATAAAAGGCAGAAGGGACTAAGTTTGCACCAATGGCAAGGGAAGCCCATGTTCAGCACCCGTTTACAGTCTTTAAAATTTGTCTTGACCTTACAAAAGGGCTTATTATGAAAATTATAGTACGATTATTACCTAAATTCACAAAGACTGACACCATCTACAGGAGAGATGCATCCAAACTCAAAAGACGGATTTTTATAAGCTGCACCTTTTTTATCCCCTTAAAACGATTTCAAGTTCTTAATTGCAGTGAAGAAACCAAATTCATAGGGGAAATCTCTTGTAAACAGGGCAGCTTCTGCAGGAAGTGAGGAAGCACTTTAAGTTTACCTCAAGAATTGTAAAAGGAGCGGTATGGCGCACTGACACTTCACACATGACAATAACATCCACATTACAAAAAAGCACTGCCTCTTTTGTGAGTGGGCACCCTTGACAAGCAAACTGCCTAGGGGAACATCCCTAAAGAACTTAATTAAAAGTAATTGCCGAGCCTGGAAATGTGCTTTTGTTTTAGAAACTGTAAATACCAGCAAGACTTTCTCTTGCCCGAATCCAGCCTGAGGACAACAAATTGGCCAACGGCGGAAGTTGCCTGACGAAATGACTACAACATGAAATCCAGTTTTATGATCATAACAAAACCTTCCTTCCGGGGCCAGGCAAAAACTTGAGAAAACGTCCTTTTGAATGCAACAGCCAATTATGAGCGCCCCGTCACCGGCGAGAGAGCTCGGCCCGCAGGGCCGGATCACTGGGAGGCTGTGCAGCTCCAGGTTAGAACCTTAGACGGGTCCCGAGCCGGGCCCCCACCGACGCAGCCCGCGGCCGCCCCGGCACCTCCCTCGGCCCCCGCGGGCGCCCGGGCAGCAGCACTGACCTTCCGCAGGGCCGAGACTAGCAGCCCCCGCCATTTCGGACTGTTTTCTTCGCTGAAGAACTCGTACGGCTGCGGTGCCTGCTGCATGGCCCCGGCGGCAGCGCCTCTGCATCGGGGGCGGTCCGCGGGCCGAGCCGGGCCGGGCCGGTGGCCTGACAGGCAGGGCGCGGGCCGCCTTGCCTCGCCGGCCGCCGCCGCCTCCCGCCCGGGCCGCGGCTACGGCCGAGGCGGCTCGGAGGCGGCGCCGGCGGGCGAGCGGTGGCTCCGGGGCAGCTTCTTCGGCCGCGACGGCCTCGCGCGGAGTCCGCAGAGGAAGCGCAGCTGCCCGGGAGCCCAGGCGACCCCGGGCTGCGACCGAGGCGGTGGCCTTCTTTCCCCGGGGCGCTGGCCCGCTCCTCGGGAGGCTCCTCCTCCTTTGTCTGGGTTCGCAGCCCAGCAGGGGTACAGCTGGCCTCGCCCCTGCTCTGACTCCCGCTACAGCCGCGACCGGCGGAGAGCAGCGGCGGCGGCTGCGGCTGGTCTTCTCATCGCCTCATCCCCGCCCTCCCAACTTGCAACGTTGCCCGGCCCACCCGAGTCGCCTCCAAAGGCCCTGGGGACAGACCCGGCGTGCGCGTCGGGCGAGCGAGCCACCGCCGCCGCCCCTTCAGCCGCGCACTGCGCCGCGGGGCGGCCGCCGAGCTCCGGGTTCCAGCAGTCGCGGCTCGGCCCGCCCCCTCGGCCCGGCGCTCAGTATCCCAGGTCGCTCGAGCAGCCTGGCGCGGAGCATGCGCGCCGAGGAGCCGGCAGAGGCGCCAGCCCGGCGCTGGGGTGCAGAGGCGCGCGGGCCAGCACCGCGACTCTGCCTTTCCCGAGCACTTGCTGTTCTCCCGAGGACTGCCTGTTCCAGACAGACACTCCCTCCTCTTGACCTTCCCAAACAGTCCCGACTCTGGGTGACTGAGCGTCTCGAGCCCCAGGACTGCAGTAGTGGGAAACAGTATAGGGGTGTGGAAAGGGATAGACAACATTGTAACGTATTTGTGTTCTACGTGGTTATTCTGTGTGTAGGAGATAGTAACTGTTTCACAGAGTGGTGTTCTGGGGACTGGAGGTGAGGCGTGGAAAGGCCTTAGCACACAACGGCCAGAAAAGCCCCAAGACAGTGTTAATAAGCTTTAACTTAAAGGTCCTTCACTTGCACAAACCCCTGTGTGTACACTAAATCATGTTATTTTTGTAAAACATTCCAAAGATATTTTTGAATTGTTTTCCTAATGGTGTCTCAAACTTGTAGGCATCAGGTCCCACGAAACCTGGATCTGCCCTTTTGGGGCCCAGCCATACTCATTAGCAGCCCCAAAAACATCCCCATACCTAACCTTCCCTGACCTGAAGAGGCATAGACTCTTTCTTACTAGCAAAAATTTCATCCCTCTAAAGATACTAGGCACATGAATTACAACAGATTGTTACCAGCCACCAGCAGTGAGAAAGGGAAAAGAAAAACGGTGCAAAAAAATAAGTCTGCACCATACTTCAGTTCAGGATCAGCAGTTGAGCAATTATCCTTTTCCAAAGCATGCACCATTTTGTCATTTTGGCAAAACCATAATGGCAGAGTTGAAAAGAGATACCATATTTCTAATGCAAGTATTCACTGAATCAAGAATTTCTCCTAATAAATGGTCACATCCACATTCCCACATACTCAAGATAAAAGATAGTGAAATGCTTGTATTTCTCATATTAATTTTTCAATGATGGCAAAGACTTTGGCTTATTTAGTCAATGTTTATTTTTCTCTCCTCTTCCAACTCCAGATATAAACTACTAGGATGTCAAACTACTAGACTGTGACTATATTTTCTTATGGGAGAATAAAGTTGTTGGTGGGAAGTTTCATTCTTGGTGGATATTGGAAGCCTTTTCTGGGTCCAGTCTGGCCTGAAGACATTTTTATTTAGCCAAGCTGTACTTAAAATTTTAAATTGTTAACATTTTAAAATCAAGGAATTTCATATAAAAATCTGGATTTCCAGCTCCTTTTAACAAAGATCTGGCAACAGTGGGCCCTGCTGCATTCCTGCAAGGGAATAACCAGCAGGTGGTGGGTAGTGGCTGCCTTCTTTAGAAAAGTATGCCATCCCATTTCCAGTTGGCTATACTCACCACCTGGCACTCTTCACCCTTTTATGTAACCTGCCTAGTCTCTGCAGGCATGAGTTGTGATCACTGGGGCAGGAAAACAGAAACGTGATCCACGTGCATATGGAGGATAATCCAAGAATGACACCAGTAAAGTTTTCCCAACCAAATGGGCCACCCTAGAAAAAAAATGGATTGATAACCCACCCTTTATACTAGGTTAAATTTCAGATGTGTCAAAATTTAATTGGAAAAAAAAACATAAAACATAATTATAATTTCAGAGCTCAAAAGACCTTTCTACTATGATATAAAATCTAGATTGATAAATTCTATTGTTAAAAAGGGATGAAAAAAAACACAAGCTAAGCAAAAAGGCAATGACAAAATGATAAAAATATTTGCAACTCATTTCAAGAGTTAATTTCTCTAATACCCAATATCTAAAAGAGTTCCTACAAATTAAAAAGACTAAAACTCAATGAGAAAAAAAAAGGATAAAGGATCTGAAAAGATAGTTCATGGAAAAGGGAATGTAAATGCCTCTTAAACAGTAAAGATGTTCAACTTTACTCATATTACAAAAAGTGCAAATTTAAATTATATTTTTCACCTATAAGGATATCAAAGATATCATTTTTCACCTTTTAGGATAGCAAAAATCAAGTTTGATTATACACTATGATACAGTATAGGGAAACTGGTACTCTATCTAGTATTAGTGAGAATGTAAATTGATTAACCTCCATCAAGGCAACTTGAAAATATCACAATTTCGATCCAACCAGCAAATTCTAGGAATATGTCTTGTAGGTATATTTGCTCTTATGTGAAATGACTTAGCAAAGGTTATTCACTGCAGTATTGTTATAGCAAAAACAAAACAAAAAACACTCTGGAAATAAACAATTTAAATACTCATCATTAAGAATAAGGGAGTACATCAACAGATAACTTTAAATCCAGAGGATGGAAACTATAAAGTCATTTAAAGAGTACCAGGCTACTTGAACATTCTCTAATATACATTGCAAATTGAAAAGAACAAGATGTATGATATAATATGAAGAGTATTCTATTACTTGTTTTAAAAAGAATGTAGGCCATTATTTGCCATATATAAATACAATCTCTCTGTAAGACCGCCTAAGACATTGACAATTTTTGTTGCCTCAAGAATGAGAACTGGGTGGATGGAGGGATGACTTTTCACTGTGTACCTTTTTGTAGCTTTTGAGTTTCCAACCATATGAATATTATACTTATTCAAAACACTGATTAAAAGTCATTTTTAATGAAAAATTTCCAACCTCATTATAAACACTTGCTTCAAGTGTTAAAAAATGCAAATATTAAACAAACTGATACTGTAAGAGGGCCTATATATATATAAAAGCTCAATAATAAATCTGAGAATATGCTGTATTAATAATTTAACACAGTAATTTTATTTTTTGGACTTTAGAATAGCTTGTAAGAGATAACTTGAATGATCTGAGCACATCTCAAAATTTAAAAGGCAGTTAAAATTTTACCACTAATACTCTCCCACTGGAAAACATTTCAAGAGGCTTATTTAACATTCCTCCCATTTATCCTCTCCTACTTCCTCAATTTATTTCAAGCTACAAGGGCTGCCAGTCAGTAGCAAACCAAAGCAATGCCACAGGAAACAATAAATGTCATTGTCACTCACTTTCATGATTTGTTGTTGTAGCTAACTTTGGTCCTCCTAACAGTCCACCTGCTGAAAGGAAGTTGAAGCAGAAAGCACTCCACAGATTTTTATCAAATTTCTTTGATTCTTATCAAAGAAAAATATGATATCTTTCATATCCTAAAACCCTTATGGGAGGTTCATGTCCAAAACCCTAACCCCCTGGTAAGAGACAGTATGTCAAAATGTCTTCCTAAGAGAAACTAGAATTTTGTATGAAATTCTAAAAGATCATTTATTGGATCCTCCTCCCTTCAAAAAAGCACTGTGTATGTATATGTTATATACATTTTGACATGGAACAGAAATAATGTTTCCTGGTGCTTTGGGATATGAAGATGACAAGGAGGTGAGCCAGATATTGCCACCACTACCAGACGGAAAGCCATTTTTGTAAGTGGGGAAGTGCTCCACTTTTTACCCCAAATATGAACTACTCTACCTCATTTTTGTGTTATACATACACAGATACAGAAGGGCTTTTTTTTTTATGATTGGGTCCTACTTAAAGCTATGATAGTTCATGTTTTACACAAAAAAATTTGAGTCAGTTTTTATGAAACTAGAAATTATATTCACAACACCAAGGGTCATTAAAATATTTTTAATTATTAATACACATTTTCTTCTCTCAGAAATACACAAAATGTTTAAATATTATATCATTACACAACAAAACCCTACTGATATAAAATGTTTTACACACAGAATAGCTTACACATTCAAAACACTTACAGTAACTTTTTTCACTTATATTTTTGGAGGTATAGTACAGACCCAAACGAAATGAACTTTGCTTTAATTAGGACAGTTATATTTGTAATTTCAGTCTTTCACAGCTTTGTGTATATGTAATCTTACTGTTGACAAAATAGAGAATTGTAACATTTTCCGTCTCTTAATAGTCTTGTAATGATCTTGTGTGTCACATTATCTTGGAGGAATTAGTTGTTATGAAGAACCATTAGGGCTTGTTTCTTCTGTGAATGGTTTCTAAATGCTTTCAATATGCTCATCCCAAATGTCAAATAATTGCCTAATCTATTTACCTGGGATGTGCTACTACTTGAACATGAGCTGATGATGTGTAGCCTTCCAAATTAATGGATGAGGTAGCTCAAACAGTGTAATCGCTGAGGCTTGAAGTGAAAAGAAAGAAAACAGAAAGGATTTTCCAGTCAACCAAAATGCATATCCTTCTTATTCATCCATTACACATCTTTGGAGAGATAAGAGGAAAGAAAAAATGGAAAGGGGGAGATTAATCCTGAGATAGTGTTATGAGGGAATGGATGACAATACCTCACCTAAATGGTGGTTCTACAACAAAAGTTTCCCCAATCAGTAGGCTGCCATATTCTTATTTATATTTCTATTTTCCAACTATCTGAACTGCAAGAATAATTTCAACAGATATTACACACATATACAGTATATACAGTATGGCACTGGGCAACAATTTAAAATACTCATGAAGTACACATGAACATAAGGCACTTCTGCGGTTTACGAAAGTGAATGCCTTGAAGTTAGGTATTTCCTACAAAAGAAATATTATAATAGTTCACAGGATCCCTGAAAAACCAAGTGGGCATGAATCATTAGTGATCTTGGCCAACATCTGAGAACCTTGGTGTGACTGAAGAACAGAGATATAAGGTATTTATGATTTTTTAAACTGCATATTAGTGGCAGGATTCTAAAACTGCTCTCATAAAAACCTATCAGTTTGAAGTTCTTTCAGTTTCCCAACCACAGAAGACTGAAAAGTTGGCAACAATCACTCATACCGTATGTACTATTTGGATTTAGTGGTGATACCACACCACATCAGTTACAAAGACACTGGGAATAATAAAGGCTTTGCATTTCTTTTGCAAAGCTATTTCCTACAAATATTATATAGCTAATTTAGAACCTTATGCCAACTACTTAAAAATGTGAAATGTCTTGGACTTTCTTTAAGTCAAGAATTTAAAATTCTCACATACAAATATAGTTGCTCTAAGTAATGAGATATTTTCTATGACTCTTTAAAATTAAAAGGAAGTTTGCAATCTACAATATACTGTATTTTCTTGTCTAGGAGAGACAAAAAAGCTTAGATATCATAAAACCAAAAAGTTAAGAGAATAACCAATTCTTTATACTATCATATCCAGAAATTTTTTAAAAGCCA